GCGCGCACAATGCCAAGGGGTCAGGCAGAAATGGGAGGCGTGGGTGTTTACAGTGCCCATTTCAGGACTACCCTCGAATTTCGAGGCCGCCAAAAGAGGAAAGTCGAGATAGTCGGTCACCGCATTCCTCTGCATTTTTTTTTTTTTCTCCTCTTCTCTTTCGCACTCTAATTTTGGAATAGAGAAGATTTTCATTATATCGTCTTGTATTTGATGTTTTTTTTTTTTTTAATTTTTGGAAAGATCTTTATGAAAACGATGATCGATCGTCGCATTTGTTTCGCGTTCGATGCATTTCGTTATTCTTTTTCTTTCCTTTTATTTTTAAATTGGAATAAATTTCATCTATTGTTTCGTATCTGGTATCTTTGTTATTTTTAGCTATTTTTCTTTTTTAATTAGAAGAGATATATATAATACGTTACGACGAACAATTGATTATATATATATATTAGATATACAGATATTTATTTTCATTATTATAACTTGAATTATAATCATACATACATTTAAATATAATTGTAGGTCTATAGATGTAATGTTTAAAAAGGAATTGTTTCTTTTAATCACACGCGAGATATTTTCTCACGTTCTTTATCGATTAGAGAAGAGGCGAGGAATGATCGCGTCTAATTGAACGTTGGAAAAAAAGAAAAAAAATATTACGAATCATGACCTACCTTAACGCGAGTTCGATTTTCCATGTATTCGTGAAGCATTCCTAACGGGCCGAAAGTTCTTTGCATTTTCGAGAGGACGTTCCTTCCATCTGCGATCCAGTCTCGTTTCTCTATCTTCTTTTTGTTGGCCACAGACTCTGCGCATCGTAAAAAAAAAAAAAAAAAAAAAAAAGAAAAAACGCTGATTTAATCCCTCTCTATGATACACATTTTCTTTACGTTTTCGAATATTATTACGTAATAGTAGATAACAAACAAAAATTGTAGACAACAGGTCTGTGTTTTTTTCGTTAGATGCAAAACGATTCGATGTATAATCAATTTTTCTAAAAATCGTTAATTTCCTTTCCCTTTATATTCAACTTTTAACAGCAATCTTGCCACTTGCATATTGCAATACCCTTATCCACGTAATGGAATTTCCCCGTCCATTGAATAACTTAAAAATCAGATCGATAAATTTAAATCTACAATTTCAAATTCTACCAATTCTAATAATTGTTTCACGTGCCGTGAAAATAGGTCGGTAAAGTAGACGGGGAGATGTCATCCGAAGGAAGAGATTCGAAATTTATCATCATCTCTCGATCAACAAGGGATGATTATCGGTGGCCGAGTTCCCAGCATCTGTCCCTTGTAGATTTTTCCGTGGCAAGCGTAACACATCGTACTAATAAGAATTTATGTTGCTCTAGGTGGTTGTCGGTCCGCCGACAAATCATCGTTCAACGTTGTATTCCACGCCGCGTTGAGACGAGTAACTCCGCCGATAGCATCGTTGCTTCTCTACTCGTCCGCCGTTTTTTGCTCGTTTTTTTGCCGCGGCCGCGTGAACAGAGACACACAAGCCATTACGTAGGACGGGTCGCCTATACGAGGACTGTACGATGCCTAGGAAGACACCGGCGTCCATTAAGAAAAATCGAATTTGTATGCGAGCTACGCGAACCGAATTGCGCGGACGGAATATCCTCGAGCTCTTCCTCTCTGTCGATAAGGTGGACACGGCGAGGCGAAAGAAAATGAGAGAGAGAGAGAGAGAGGGAGAAAGGGAATATATCGTATTCCCGCGGCAGCGACAGTTATTTATGACAATAAATATTTGATTACGATAAATTACATAGCGGACCTGGAGGCACGCAAACGTCCCCTCGCAATTTCTTCTCAATTCCACGTTTCGTTAAGTATTCGTAGCGGCGAAAGTATATTCACCGTGCATGACTGGTCGTCGGCCTGCGCGGCTCTCTAAGCAACAACCTCTCTGGTAAATCCATCCAATTCGCGTTTCCAGGGAGGGATGAGGGATGACGAGTCGAGACTTCTTTCTTCCTTTTCGATCCGCGAAAGATTCGGGCGAAGAGTGAGCTCGTTCTTTCCTTTCTTTTTGGCAAGTATTCATTTTGCTCGAAAATTAGGATCTTTGAAATATTTTACAAACTACGATATTCGATGAGATATAAATATAATAGGATTTTTATATTTCATTTTTTCCAATCAATCGAATTGTTATAAATTGGTTTTGTCACTAAAAAAAAACAAGTCAAGAAAATTTGCACGCATGGTGATGGCGTTACTACGATTAGCAATAGGCGGGGGGTCTGGCGAGAAGGTGGGCCGGCCCTGGCCGGCGTGGCGCGGAAAGAGGAACGCCGCAGAGTTACGTAAAGGCTGGCTGTGCTCTGTACACGCTCTCCGCCATACGCTCCGTGCACACACGAGTGCACTTATTTCGCCAGTGTATGCGCGCGCGCGCACGCACTCTAGCAAGCACTCTACTCGCACACGGGTTCGAGACGGGTTGAATTCGTCGATAGGTGTTGCGTTGGTGCGAAAAGAGCGGGTATGGATCGGTCGCGCTATTCGACGAGATCGACGCTCTGCCAATTGGCTTTCTCCGATAACTTTCATCCACCTTAAATCTACACGCCTCGCCCCCCTCTCTCTCTCCCCCCCTCCCCTCGCTTCCACTCGCCTCTTTTCCACCTTTCTTTATTCCTTTCCGCGTGCACCACGCGCCCGCCACTTTCACTATCGCGCCGCGATCCAATTCCACCTCCCGGCGGCCGAGAGAGCAAGCCTCCAAAGAGCTAGATAACTCGCCACCGGCCGAGAGGCCATTTTTCGAGAGGCCGTGCTCTCTGTCTCTTGGGCGATTTCTAAAAATAAAAAGTTGGGGGAAGCCCGCGAACGGGAACCATTTATCGCTCGTTACGGGGAGATGGGCGAGACCGGTAAAAATACGCCCGCCATCGATTTTCGAAGAAAATATATAATCGTGTTTACTTCTCGAATTGCTAGAATGTGATAGAGTTTCTATTCTTTGTTACAGATATTTCGAATCTATCCTCTTTAGTTCAAGTTTGGACAAGTATTTTCTCAAAACCAATCTTCTCTTCAAATAAAAGAATGGATAATCATAAATAGATATTCTACCTATCCTCGCGTTACTATCCTCGATATGGGGCGGCTGAAGTTGATGCATCGTTATCAAAAATATGATCAGAGTGAAATCAAAAAGAAATGATCAGATCCGATCGAAAATCCAATTTGAAAGTATCATCGATTTGCTTATATAAAAATAATAATGATACATTAACTATTACACGAATAAAGATAAAGAAAAATGTTTATTCGATAATTTCGAATGGCCACACGTTAAACGATTCGTCGAGCCTAATCTACTAAATAGAAACTAGAGGGGAAGGAGGTGGGGGAAGGAGAACGAGGGGAACAACACACCTTCCAGTTACGTCCGTGAACCGGAGTCGTGGTGAAATTAGAAATTGCCTCGTTTACGGTACCACGCGTGGCTAATCGCAAAGGCGGCCACGCGTTTTATCCTCCCAGTTTTTCCTCTCCCTCGTCTATGCGCTCTATCGTCTGGTCGACGAGGAGGAGGAGGAGGAGGAGAAGAAGGTTGAGGAGGCGGAGGACGAAAAAGGTCGTAAAACGGATTATCGAAATTACGCCCGGAGCATCTCCGGCTTTTACGACGATATATCTCCATCGACGATACATAAAGGAAAGCCTCGGAATATTTACTCGAGGCACGGAAGGGTCGCCTCCGTGTTTACGATATAGTCGCTTTCCACTGTCGGTTCTCGTTCTCCACGCGAGGATGCAATCTGCCTGGACGATCTCGCGGAGCTCTGTTGAGAAAGGCGCGCGCGCGGAGAAAGGGGGAGGGGCGGGGAGCGGAGGGATGGAAAAGAAAGAAGGAGAAAGAGCGAGAGGAGACGAGAGGAGAAAGGGGAGGAGGGCGTAAAACGTCGTCCACCTCCAACGTGCGCCACTATTTTTTCCTCTTCTATTCCTTTCAACGCGCTAGGAAGGAGAGAGAGAGAGAGAGAGAGAGAGTTTTTTTTCGATTCTCAGTCGTACACTCAGGAGAGATAACGCTTCGAGAGCGTTCACGTGCGTGAACCGCAAAGGGAACCGTTAGCTTCGCCGAGTCGAGAACGAAACGGCCGCCGGGTATTATCCTCCTCCATCGCTTTTCACCTCGAAACTTCTTTTAAAAAAAACTTTCAAAATTATTCCGCTCGAAAACTCGAGGAAAAACGAACGCGCACACACGGGTAGTACTATCTCGAGATTGAACCTGTTCCACCTGGCTCGAAACCCCGAATATCGAACCCGTCCCGCGAAAACAATCGCAAAACCTACCTAACCCTACCCTACCCTATTCTACCTGGGCGAAAAAAAGGATCACCCGCCAATTATCGCGTACCCCTCTCGATCGTCCGCGCAACACATCTCACGTGTTCACCTGCAAAAATGTTTACCGTGCGTGCGAAGGAGCAGTTGGAGGAGTTGGATCCCTATGCAGGTGGGTACGACGGCCCCTGGAGAATGTTCTTGCGCGGGGCAG